CCTTCCCCCTCCTGCCTCTCCCAGGGATGGAAAACTGGGACACCCCAGGCCCGGGGGCCTCTGGGGGTGGCCAGGGGTTCTGGCTGTCCCCAAGGGAGGACAATTTTCTCTCTATCCCTTCCCACCACTTTCCCAGATCTTTATTCTAAAGGGCAGATTCAAGGGCTCCAGTAGCCAAAGAGGCTATTCCAGCCGGTTCGTGCTGGCACCAACACTGGCATCGGCATGCTACGGAGCTGCTCCCTCTGCCCGAGGTGGGGTGATGTGGGGGACAGTCCCTCACCCCAGGGCCGATCCAGCACCTGCCGTACCTGCACCACGCTGCCCGACTCGTCGCAGACGCACACTGTCACCTCCACGTTCTTCTGCGTCTTCTTGTTCCCTTTGTCAAACTCGCCCTGCACCAGCGTCAGGTAGATGTCGTTCCTGACGTCTCCTGGGGGGACAGCCCTGTCAGCGAGGCTGGGTCCCCTCTGCAGTGGGACACCCCGTAACCCCACACTGGGACTCCCAGAGACAGTCCAACCAGCCACCCTGCTTGCCTGGCATGATGACCTCTGGATAGCCCAGCTTGCGTGCCACCACCGTGCTGCGGTCCACGAGGTGGGGATGGTCCTTCCGCGCTTGGCTCAAGTCTCCCCACAGCATCTTCAGGGACACCCAGAACCCTGCCGGGACAGAGTGCGAGATGTCGGCCCCATGGTCCACACCAGCTCAGCTCAAGCTGTGCTGTGTCGTGCCGGGCAAGGCTGCCTCCTGCAGAAGCAGCTGCCCCTCCCTGGGGCTCAGCCCTGGATGCATTTGGGTGGGTGGTCAATTCCCGGTCACCCCATATGGCTCTGATCCCAAAATTGCTGGGACAATTCACACAGCGAGCCCCGGCCACACCCAGGATCAAACTCACACCCCTGTGGCTGCTGTGGTTTTTCAATGGGTGACAGCGTGCAAGAGCCTGGGGGAGGCAGTGGGAGGGGGCCCACAGCCGGCCAGGGACCGGAGCGAGCCCCCAGACCCTGCAAGGAGTGCACGGGGGGGCTGCCCCAGTGCAGGGGACCTGGGGGCAGCCCGGGACCCCAAGCACAAGCAGCAGCCACAGGGAAATGTGTGATGGGCTGGGGAGGGGGTCTCACGCCGTCCCCCACCACATACCGCAGCACACAGTGGGCACGCAGGGCAGGGGGGCTCTACCTTGTCCCTTGTGGTTGATGTCCTTCCCCTCCACTGCTTTCCTGATCATGTTGTGAAGAAAATCGTTGTCAGCAGCCACCCTGCAAACACCAGAGCGGGGCAATTCGGAGGAGCTCCCCACTGGGCGCACACAGGGAACCCTGTGCGGCTGCTCCCCGCAGCCAGGCACCGACCACCAGCAAACCAAACAGCAGCCCAGATCCCACTGCGGCTCCCCAACCTGCCGGCCTCCAGCCCGCCAAGAGGGAGGTGCAGGACGGCATTCACAGCAGACCTGGGACCCTCAGCATGCGACCCTGAGGGGCCGGGAGGCAGAGCTCTGGCAGGGCTTCAGTATCTCCGAGTACATCGCTCCCATAGAAATACCCCTTTTCTAACCTCACTGAGGTCCTGGACCTGGTGACATCATGTCCCAAGGATCCATGGTCCCTTTGCAAAGTCACATTTAACAGGAAAATCTTTTGTCTTAGATCCTGGCACCTCTTCCCCCCTTGCAGCCGCTGGCTCCGTGCCAGACGGGCCCACGGAGCACTGCCCCCCCTGCCCGCTGCCCCCCGCGCCCACGCAGCACTGCCCCCCCTGCCCGCTGCCCCCCTGCCCGCTGCCCGGCCCCGCAGGACTCACAGGTGCACGGGGATGAAGTGCTGCTTGTCCTCGTCGCTCTCGCACTTTCCCTTGGTGATGTCCGTGATGTCCATCACTGCAGCAGCACAGAGGCGGCAGCGTGGGGTGGCCGCCACGGGCACTGGTGGCCCCAGCCCCCAGCACCAGGGCCCTCCGTACCAAATCCTCCCGGGACCAGCATCCAGGACAGTTTTGTCCCGTCCTGCAGCCACCGCTTCACCTGTGTCCCCAGCACTGACCCTGCTGTGCCCCAGCTGGTGCTCCACGGGGAGGTCATCACGCCCCACTGAGACCCCTCTGCCACCCCGCGCCAGACGGCACCGAGCTGCATGGGGCTCCCAACAGGGAGAAACCCCGTGCCCACACGGCTCCGTGGCAGATGGACATGCTGCCAACACGGGCTGGGACCTGGCATCCCGGTACAGCTCACCCATGGGAAATGCTCCTGGGGGGGGTCTGCAGCAGCACCAGCATCAGCCCCCAGTGCAGGGAAGGGTCCCGTGCTGGGGCACAGCCCGAAGGCCACCTGCCCCTCAGGCTTTCTCCTCCTCGCCCTGTGCTTCTCCAGCTGCCCCAGGGCAGAGCTGGCTGCCCGGTGCTCGCACCACACACCCAGCGTCCCCTGCAGCTGCGTGCCTCTGGGGAACAGCACGCAGAGATCGTGCAGCCACCAACTGGACGGTCACCACAGGTGTCCTCAGAGCTCCGGGGCAGATTTTGGCCAAAATAAGCCATATCCAGAACCTCTTCATTGCCCACGGACAGGGGGTTTAGTGCAGGACGCACAGGGCACCACAGAGTGGGCACCAGGACAATCCATCTGGCCCCTCCCCGGGGACACACTCAGCTCAGAGTGCAATTAGCCACCGATACGTTCATAATTCACCTAGTAATTTCTCTGTGGCTGAGGTCCTAGCACACACTAATTAGCCAAGTAAAATCAGTGATTTCCTAGCAAGCCCATCTGATGGGGATTCATACCCAGAGCAGGACCATGGGTCGAGGCAGAGGGCAGGTAGCTCCCTGCTCCACTGGGGACAGGCATCACGGAGGGGCCAGGGCTGCTCCCGGGGGGCACCTCTAGGCTGGGGGTCCCCCACGCCACACAGCAAGGAGGGATGGCTGGGCCCCCCCCGTC